ACACACACACACACACACACACACACACACACACACACACACACACACACACACACACACAAACAAGTACCGCCGAGAATGGCCACGGCGTGGTAGAGGACGGGGTATTGGATGTGGTTGGGCGAGTAGATCGCCAGCACATCACCTTGTCACACGCAACCGACCACCAGTCAGCGCTCATACAACACACATCACCGCACGCACCGCACGCACACCGCACACACCTTTGCGGAGGCCGTGGTAGAGGTGCAGCGCGGAGGCGGTGCGACGGATGAGGCTCGCCACCTGGCCGTAGGTGTAGGTCTCGCCTGCGTGCCCCCCCCCCCGAACACAGCGTTGCCACGTCAGCACCACCTTCAAGGGCTCGGGAGGGGGGAGGTGGACCAGAGTGTCCGTCGATGAAGCAGGGGTCGGCGGGGCGGCCCTCGCTGTTGTCCAGGAGCCACTGGGTGAAGTTGGCCCGGTACTCGAGCGCCACGTCCGCCCACGGACTGTACTGCACCGACATGGTCGCTGCTGCCTTGGCTGGCGCTTCTTCTTTTATTTTATTATCAAACCTGCCGCCCAGACCAAATAACTGAATCGAACAACACATAAAAAAAAGAAAATAAATATTATGCAAATTTGGTTTATTAAAATTAAACTAAACAGGCAAATGGATGACCCTTCAAGATGAAGGCTTTGGTGCACCAGGGAGATGGGCCGGAAGAGGGCGGAGCGGATACGTTACTTTAGTTGGCCTTCTTGCGCTGGTCCTTGTGCTTCTCTCGCAGCTGCGCAGCCTTCAGTTTGGCCATCATCTCGCACGACATCACCAGGAAGTTGATCTGCAACACCAGGAGGAATATCACTAATCTGACCTTCCTTCTTGACGCATGATGTGCGTGTCGTGTAGTTGGTCGTGTCGTGTCGTGTCGTGTGCGGCGGCGATGGCGTAAGTTGTGCTGATGGAGAGGGAATGCGTACGGTGATGACGACAGCAAGGAGGAGGAGAGGGAAGGAGAAGATGACCGACACGAAGAAGCCGTTCTTGGTGAAGTAGGGCTTGGCGGCAAACAGCTCCCAGTGGGCCATCGCCACCTCGTTGATGTACTGTGCCGCACCCACCAGTCCCACTGCAACCCCAATTACCAATTATTTAGAATAAATTATTGATATATTGTGATATATCAATTATTGATTTAAAAATTGATTAAAAAGTAAAAAATTGTTTCGTGTAGGAGGACGTACAGATGAGAATCCAGAGGGCGGTCTGGACGTTGAACATCTTGCGTGTCCAGAAGATGGTGATGAGGAGGGTGGCGTAGAAGATGGCGAGGCCCAGCAACCACGGCTCGTTCCAATCGACCGCGCCGATGAACTCCTGCAGATTCTCCCAGCTGCCCGAACCGTGCTCGGCCAGCTTGTCCCACGTGGGCAGGTCGAGCTCCTCCCACGCCTTGTTGATCTCCTCCGTCAGGTTGAACCCCTCGCCCATCGCATTGTTCAGCGTCGCGCCCAGGAAGTCCATCTTCCTCTACACTCTCTCAATCTTTGGCCTCTTCTTGTTCGCTGACGTGGCGCTGTTTGTAAGAATTTCTGAAGAAATTGATTTTCTCTGATCTTTTAGAGATCTACGGAGATCACAAACCTCGAGAGCTGAGGCATCTGGAGGTCGTGACCATCTAGGAGAGTGTGCACACCTGCATCTTGGCGTGCATACATTTTGGCCTTCAATTGCCGGCTCAATTCGACGCTACGCCGGAAGAATTTTGGCAAGTAGAGAGAGATACTCTTATAAGATAAATTATCCATCATGAATTATTCTTATTTATTTAATGGAGGTGGAGAGGAAGCCAGAGAGGCATGGATGGAGGAGGAAGAGGAAGACGATCTAGACGCCCCGCACGCCTCCCTTCATCGTCATCATCATCCCGAATCGCACATCCAGAGTAGCGCCTCTACTTCCAACGCCGCCGCCCCCCTGCCCATGCCCCTGCCCACCGACGACGACGACGAGAGCTCGACGAAGAGGTACTCGACACGCTCTACCTCAAGGTCTACACGGGCCAGCTCGACACCACCAGCACCAGCGCGCCGCCGCCGCCCAAGGAGGCCACCGCGGCCGGCGACGGCCCAGACAAGGCGACGGCCAAGGGCGAGAAAAAGGAGGAGGAGGAGGAGGAGGACGGGGAGGTGGTGGACGAGAAGCGCAAGGCCGAGCTGGCCAGGGAGAAGGACGAGGAGGAAGTGGCGCAGCTCGTCAACATTGCCACCGAGACCAAGGTGTGTGTGTGTGCCGTGTGCGTGTGTCGTGTGTCGCATGCGTGTTGTGTGCGGGAACTGACGTGTGCTGTGGGAGTGCAGGGGCAGGGAGGTGCGTCGAGCCGGCGGTATTGGGGATCGGAGACCGACAACGCCACCGTGTGCTTCAACTGTGGCGGCACCGGACACTTTTCCCGCGACTGCATCGAAGCCAGGGTACCCTGCACGCGACATACGACACGACACGACACGCACACGACACGCACACGACGCGCAAGTGCTGACGATTGTGATGTGGCGCGCAGGGCCTGGTGATGGTGTGCACGACGTGCAGTCAGGTGGGACACTCCTCGCGCCAGTGCCCCGACACCACCATCTGCAACCGCTGCAACACTCTGGGACACTTTGCCCGGGTAACCAACCAACTTCTCCGCTCTCTCTCCGCCGCCGCAGTGCGCTCACGCGTGTCGTGTCGTGTCGTGTCGCGCAGAACTGTGATCAAATCACCTGCTATCGCTGTGGCTTGGTTGGACACATTGGCAGGGTACACGCACGCACCACACACACCACTGCACGCGACATTTGTTGAGCTCACGAGGCGCGTGTCGTGTGTGTGTCGTGTGTGTTGTGAGAGCAGGACTGCCGGGGGCGGGAGCGGGAGAGCGCGGAGGCGGCTCGGCGCCAGAAGCGGAGACGCAGCGACGGGGAGGCCCTCCTGGGACAGCCCGCCGCCGCCGCCACGCCCGGCAGCAACGGGCGCGGCACGCGTGGGCTGTCCCTCGGCGGCGGCGGTGACGCCTCCAAGCTGGTCGACTTCGAGGTCCTCATGCGCAGCCCGACCCGCAAGCTCTTCTGCTTCAACTGCGGCGGGGAGGGACACCTCGGCTCCGTACGTGCGCTCTCTCCGTGTGTGCGGTCGTGCGTGTGCGGTATCTAACGACACACAACACACAACACGCGACACACGACACGACACGCGCAGAATTGTAATTTGGCGAGTATGGAGAAGCTGGGTGGCGGGACGCGCACGCCGCCGCGGCCGCGCATGCCCGAGGGCGTGTGGATGTCGCCCAACGCGATCGAGGACCTGACCGTCGACGAGCACCTGCGCCCGCGCAAGCGCAAGTCGCTGAGTCAGCTCCGGCGACTCGAGGAGCGCGCCGGCAACGGAAACGGCGGCGACGGCGACGATGACGAGTACGCGCGGCGCAAGGCGCGGCGCGAGAGCCGCGAGGTGGCGCGCGACAAGCGGAAGCAGCGCGAGGCGGCCCACTCGGCGGAGGCGGAGCAGGCCGGGCTCGGGGAGCTGGCGAGCGATCGCCCGACGAAGAAGCGGCGGAGGGCGAGCGACGAGGGCGAAGAGGCGGCGACGAAGAAGGAAAAGAAGAAGAAAACGAAGAAGACGAAGAAGACGAAGAAGAGCGAAGAGAAAAAGAGCGAAGCGGTGGCGGATAGCGATGACGGGGGGGAGGCGGCGGTGGATCAGCCGATGAGCCGACAGGAGATGCTGGTGAAGAAGCGGCGCGTGTTCGATCTGCTGGGCATCGCGGACGACGACGATCTCGACAAGAAGCTCGCAGAGGCGCAGGAGAAGCCCGAAAAGAAGAAGAAGAAGACGAAGAAGACGAAGAAAACGAAGAAACACGAGGAAGGGGAGGGAGTCGGTGGCGAAGAAGAGGAAGGCGAAAAAAAGAAGAAGAAGAAGAAGAAGTCGACCACGACAAGAGGGGAGGACAGCGCGGAGCTGCTCAACATCACCGTCACCGTGAACAACAACACCGGCGGCGGCAGGGACGACGTCATCGTGATCGACGACTAACGCGCCCCGCACGAAAAGAAACATTTCTTCTTCCTTTTACTCGCATCTACACACAAACCACCACGAGCCGCCGACACCGTTGATTACCATCACACGGTGTGGCGGGCGGGCGGGCGGTCCCTAGGGAGAGGTCGGGGCGACGAGCGACGAGATGAAGGACGACGCCGACGCCAGCTTGGCCTTGAAGTCGCCCACCAGCTCCACACCTTAATCCCCCGACGTCAATAACAATGACACGACACACGCGACACACACAACACGCAACACACGTGCGGTTCGTACCACGTGGCGATTTGTTGTCTACATCGTTGTTCGCCGCCGCGGATGAGGAAGAGGAAGGCGACGATGACGACGACGACGACGACGCGGACGTCGGTGAGGCCGGTGGCGAGGCGTTGGAGCCCAGGAGGTTCTCGAGCACGTTGATGCCCCACGACGAGAACTCGCTGAACTGGCCCCGCTCCTTCATGCTCCGCATGTCGGCCAGCCGCAGCTTCGTGCCCCGCCGCCCGTGCGACGGTGAACCTGACGGACTGCTGCTGCCCGCCGCCGCGGCGGCCATCGTAGCCGCCGCTCCGCCGGCCGACAGCGACGACAGCGCGAGCGGCGACGACGGCGTGCCCCTCCGGCCCAGCACCCGCCCGCGCTGGCCGCCCGCCGCGTCACCGCCGGCCCCCGCAGGGCTGGTATCGGGGGTCGCGGTGGTGGTGGTGGTGGGCTGCTGCAGGGTGAGGGGCGCGCGATAGGGCGACTCGGGCGGCGGAGAGGAGGAGGCGAAGGGCGAGGCCGCGGGCGAGTCGGCGCCGCTGCCGCTGGCGCCCAGCGATTCGAGGAAGCTGAGCGACGGCGGTCCGGCCATGTCGACGGTCGTGTTCGAGCGGCGGCGCGTCAGCACGGCCGGCGACGAGTCGACCTGCGCCGACGACGACGCCGACGCGAGCGGCGATGCCGGCGACGGCAGCGACGACGACATGGGCGCGCCAGAGAGCGAAGACGACGACGATGGTGATGATGATATGGGCGACGGCGTGGGAGGCGATGACGACGTCAGCGGCAAAGAGCGGGGCGAGGGCAGGGCCTCGTCGCCGCGCGACCGGGTCGGACCAAAGAACGACGAGCGCCGCCGAGACACGCCGCCCGAGCTCGAGCCGGTGCTACCGCCGCCGCCGGCAAACATTCCCGTCGACGACCGCTTGGGCACCGGCACTGTCGACGGTGTCGCGTGTAATGTCGACGTCGACAGGTCTGTAGTCGACGCCGTAGCGGCGGCGGCCGTGGCCGCGGCGGCGATGGGCGACCACGCGCCGGCCATGGCGGCGATGAACGAGGGCGGGCCGGCGTGGGTCACGGTGCTGGAGCGCTGGCGGCCGGTCGGTGGCGACGCCGAGGGCGACACTGAAGCCGCCGCGGCCATGGCGGTGAACTTTTCGTTCTCCTTGGCCATGCGCTCGAGCGTCTCCTTCGCCTTCTGTTGCTCCTCCCACTCCGCCTCCCTGTCACACGCGTGTCGTGTCGTGTCGTGTCGCGTGAGTGTGTGCGGTGAGGTGTGTGCGGTGAGGTGTGTGTCGTTGCGTGCGGTTACCTGCGCTTCTCGTCTTCGAGGTCGATGATGACCTGAAGCTTGTACGAGTTGCGGAGCTGCTTGACCTTGTCCATCGTGATCGACCCAAAGTCCCTCAGCGCCACCTGTGCGCACACACCGCACGTGTGCGTCAGTCGCACGACACGCACGGCACACACGACACGCACGGCACACACGACACGACACACGACAACAGTACCTTGAAGAGGAGCTCGGGGTCTTCGAGGGTGCGCTGCTGCATGGCGGCGAGGATGGTACTGCCCTCGTCCTTGGTGTTGAGCACCTCGTTCTCGGAGATCTTGAACAGCGCCAGCCCGATCTGAACAGCACGCACGGCCCGTCCAGGAAGAAGCAGTCCAGAATCCGACACACGCACTGCACTCGGCCGCACACGCACACGCACAACTGTCAGTGTACATCGTGTGCGCACACACGACACACACGAAACACACGCACGACACACGACGCACGACACGCACGCGCGTACCTTGAGTGGCAGTTTGCCGATGAAGAGGCAGAGGAACCAGGGACACGAGAACCAGGCGATCGGGATGCCCAGCGCGTCCGTCACGTGAGCGTGCACCCGCGGCATGTGCTCCGTCAACATCACCTGCGCACGCCACACACGACACACACGACACGACACACGACTCAGAAAAACTGTTCATGTGACGGTGAGGTGGTGGTGGTGCGGTGTGGTAGTACCTCGAAGACGCGTTGGTCGACGCAGGAGCCGAGCATTTCCTTGGTGTAGTAGCCCTTGAGCATGTCCTCGACCAGGGTGATGAGCAGGCAGAAGGTCTCCTCCTCGTTCAGGTACAGCAGGAACGCCGCCGCGATCATGTTCATCGACTGGCAGTACCCTTAAAAATATAAATATATAAATATTTAGTAAAAATATGAAGAAATGGAGGCGACCACCGCACACGCCGCACTCGCGTCTGTGCGTGGGTGGCTAGAGAGGGAAAAAATGAGAGGAATGTACCGATTTCGGGGTTGTGCCACGAATAGGCGGTGAGCACTCGCCGCAGCGCATTGATGCGCAGTCCGCCAGGCCTGCACGCGCGCGCGTGTTCATCAAATGCGCACACGCGTGTGCGGTGATGCGTGTGTCATGTGATGTGTGTGCGGTCATGCGTGTGCGGTGGTGCGTAAGAAAGGTGGTGGTACTGGTAGAACGGGTGGTCGAACGAGCGGTGGAGGTCCTTCTCGATCTGTTCGGTGGCGAGGGACTGGCGCCCCTTGAACTTCTCGAAGAGGCTCCGGTAGAGGCCGGAGCTGTCGTGGGACCGCAGGCGGTAGATCGACCCCGAGCAGATCTGCCACAGCCGCGCCCGTAGCCCGTTCGGCACCCCCTCGTACACCAACCTGGGCCAGGTGCCGCACACCCACCCATCCATCCATCAGTAACGTGCGTGTCGTGTCGTGTGCGGTGGTGCGTGTCGGGTCGGGTCGTGTCGAGTGCGGTGGTGCGTGTTGTGTCGTGTGCGGTGGTGCGTGTGTCGTGTGGTGTACTTTTTGAGTTCGAGGGTCTTGAGCATGTCGACGCCCATGCCGTTTTCGCGGAAGTAGGCCGTCCACTTGTGTTCCTTGGCCTCCTCGTTCAGTATCTCGTCCGCCTTGAACTCGCCTGGTCGGGCCAAAACCAGACCGGTCAGTGTGAGTGCGGACAGGTTAGCGACACAGACGACACACACACACACACACACACACACACACACACACACACACACACACACACACACACACACACACACAAAAGAAGCCTTCGAACCAAAGAACTCCTTGAGCTGCTCGGGGTCGTTCCAGTCCACCGGCGACACGTCCTCCTCCTTCGAGCGCCCCAGCGGCGACGCGGCTGCAGGGCGGGTAGGGTGCAGTGCGATGACGTGTGTGTGGTGACGTCAGCACACACGCGGAGGCAACAAATAGCTCTGGGCTGTGGGCTGTGGGCGTACTGGTGGCGCGCGGGTGGCGCGGGTCGAGGTTGGGCGAGCGGGGCACCGGCACGAACATGAGGTGCGCGCAGGCCTCGTTCTTGAGCTCCTGAATGCGCGCGAACACGTCCGCATTGACTACCGAGAAAACAAACTACTCACACACCGCACGCGCGTGTGTTGTGTCAGTCAACGACACACGATCAACGACACGACACGACACGCGCGGTGTAGGCACCTGGTTGCGCTTGGTGTTTAGGGCGATGAGGTAGGAGCCGGGGCCGTCGTCCTCGAGGCCGATCTGTGCGATCTCGACGAAGGGTACCACCACCTTAAGAAACGGCGCCGCGCCGCCCGCGCCTGCGCCCGACGACCCCGACCCGCCGCCGAACGACGACGACCCGCGCCGACCGCGCAGCACACTGTCGGCCAACACCCCGCCGTCGCGCAGGCCCCGCGCCCTACTCCCTCCGCCGCCGCCGTTGTTAAGAGCGTTGCTGACGTCAGCGCCGCCGCCGACGCCGAGCGCGACCGAGCCGCTGCCGGTGAGGCCGTTGGCGAGGCGGAGCTCGGCCTTGTCGGCCGGGAGCAGGGAGTGGAAGCAGGCGTAGTGGGCCGAGAGGTAGATGCGGCCCAGCACGAACACCTTGCGGAAGCTGAGCGAGGCGTCGAACTTGTGCAGCAGGGACTCGTCGGCGGGCAGCTGGAAGAGGAAGCGGAAGTGCTCGTTGCGCTTCTTGGTCTCGAGCACGTCCTTCATGCTGGGCTTGCGCGGCTCACCTTCACGACACGACACGACACGACACACAGTTAATAACACGGCACGACACGCACGACACGCGCGACACGGATGATACAAACCAAGAGGACGAGTACCGGCGGCGGCGCGGGGAAGGACGGGCGAGGTGGTGGGCGTGGTCACGGAAGGGCGCCGGGGCGGGAGCGTCTCGATGGAGACCGAGCCGCTTCGCACGCGGCCACGCGTGGGCACCGCCGCACTCGACCGGTCCATCTGTGCTCTGCACACCATCATGCCCAGTCGGGTCAGACCGACGACACGACACGGCACGACACGACACGACACGACACGACACGACACGACACGACACGACACGACACGACCAACGGCACGACCAACGACAAGACCAACGACACGACACCACACGCACTCTTCCATGATGGCCCGCGTGGAGGGCGACCAGGCTCCGGGGTCGGTCGCAGGGTCCGGCGCGGCCCAGCCGCTGCGCGAGGTCGGCGTGGTTCCGCTGCTGCTGGCCCGCTCGCGCGTCGGACTGTTCACCACGTCGACGCCGGCGAACACTTCGCGGCCGCCGCTCTGCGAGCGCCTGGCCGGGCCAGCGACCGAGCCGCCTCCGGCCGCGGCTTCGGCCCCGTCCGACCGCGACAGCACCGGGCCATCGGCGTCGGCCACGCGGTCGGCGGCGGACGCGGCGGCTGTCTGTGGCTTGTGGACCACCTCGTCGTGGGTCTTGGAGATGACGAAGTCGCCCACCACCAAACTGCCCGAGTTGGTGAGAAATTCCCCGACCGACTGCAGCATGGATGAGGAGGCGCCGTCGTCGGCGTCGGAGCCCGGTCCGGCCGCGCTGCTGCCGCCGCTGCGGCTGCCTGATGAGGTGTCGACGCCGACACCGCTTGATGACGTGTCGCAGACGCCGTCGGTTGGCGCGTTGCCGCCGTTGTCGATGGAGGGCTGTGCGGCGACGCCCGCAGAAGAGGCGCTTTCCGTGGGGAGGTGGCGGGCAGGAGCACTTCGCTGCAGCCGCGGCCCAGTGTCACCTTGTGTAGTCTTTGTCGACAAACATATAAATGGGGTCAGCGACGACACACGTACATGCACACGCACACGCACACGGGCGACGCACACACCGCACACGGGCGACGCACACACGCACGCACCGTTTCTCCATGTCCATGTTCCACAGCTGGGAGATGAGCTCGTAGACGTCGTCGCGCTTTTCGATGTCCGAGAAGAAGTAGTCGCCCTCGCGCGCTTTGATTCGCAGCGAGTCCTGTCTGGCCATCAGCGTCGATTTCTCCTGCGGAAATGCAATAAAAAAATCAGATCTCTTTGTGTCGTGTGTGCCGTGCGTGCCGTGTGCCGTGTGTGCCGTGCGTGTCGTGTGTACCTTGGTGACGGCAAGGATGTCCGTGAGAAAGATGAGCACTTTGACGGTGTTCCCGCTGAAGTCGATCTTGGTGTGACACACGCGCATGGTGCCAGCTCGGTAGCGCAGTTTCACCCAAAGCGAACAGTTGAGGGCTGGCGAGTTGTGTGTGTGTGTGTGTGTGTGTGTGTGTGTGTGTGTGTGTGTGTGTGTGTGTGTGTGTGTGTGATCCCCATCAGTCCGATGCGTAGCGCACACATAAGCACGCATGGCACGCGGTGTGGACATACTCGATAGCACTTCGTCAGTGTCCGCGGATTCCTTCTTCTTGGTCGGTGGTGGCGAGGTCGGTGTGCTGGTCGAGCGTCGGAGCTCGATTTGTCGCAGCGCGATTTCGTTGGCCTGGTTAATGTACAACATCTTTTTCCCCCCACGTTGCACGTGCCACCATCCAGTTACTCACCATCTTGCGCCCGCACTCGTGCATGTGTAGCGTGTCGTGTCGTATCCGATGCGTGTCGTGTCGTGTGCGATACGTGTGCGGTGCGGTGGGTGTCGTGTCGTGTGTGCTGTGTCGTACCTGGAACTGGAGGAGGAGAAACTTGTCGACCTTGTCGGTGCCCTCCTCGGAAATGATCTGAGAGAGCTTGGCCAGCATGTTGGCCTCTATCCACCGCCAGTCGGCCCGGATGACCTCCTCCGCGTCGTCCTCCGCCACCACCACCGCCTCGCTATTTACATCTGTCCGCATCATCACGATTCGCCACAACTTCGTTTCCGCCTTCTTCTCCTCCTTCGCCTCCTTGCCGTTGTTGGTTGTTGTGGTGGTGCCGCTGCTGCTGTTGCCGCTGTTGCTGCTCTCATCTCCACCTTCACCTTCACTTTCATCGAGCGCGACTTCGTCCATCTTGTCTCCACCTTCACCTTCATCCCAGGCGAGGTTGTCGTCAACGAAGCGCCTCGTGGCGGTCTTGTGCGTCTTCTTCTTCCTCTTCTTCGCCGTCGCTCTCGTCTTCTTTTTCGATGTCGCTGTGGCGGCTGCGGCCTCGTCGGAGGAGATGTTGGTGGTGGGCTTGACGGTCAGAGATTCCAGGCGGAACCGCTCGTTGACGCACTCGGCCGTCCACACGTTGTTCTCCTTCTCCTTCTTCGCCACCCCGTGCTCGATCATCCGCGGCTGTATCCACACCATCTTTTTCTCTTGTCTATTATGATATATCTATCTCTATCTGCTGTTGTTATCTATTATTGTTGCTCTCTTATTATCTGTTATGTCCACTTGTTTCTATCCATGCACAACAACGAGATAGTGAGACAGCCAGGCTTCTGGCCCTCTGGGGAGAGAAAGAGAAACAGAGATGCGCGGGGGTGAGCAGAGGTTCTCTTCTCACGCCGCCACCGGGCGATCGGAATACCAAAACATTCTGCGCATTCCTACCCTTTTTTGAAGGCCTCTTTGTCCTTTTACGGTCGTCACGCGAAACCGCCGCCTGGCAACCATGAATTCAGCACGACACTCACCAACACGCACACATACACATACACATACGCACACCACAACGGTAAACGACACGCACCATATGCAGTGGCCTCGTCGCGAAGTGTTCACGGTCTACGGTGACTGCTTGAGCACGAGCGGGTCGACGTTGAGCTCGACCGCCAGGCTCTGCAGCGCATTGACCAGATTGACGTGGAACGCAATCCCCTCCTTCGTGTACGCCTCCTCCGTCGTCTTCTCCGGATCTATCGAGTGCGTGTGCGTGTGCGTGTGCGTGTGCGTGTGCGTGTGCGTGTGCGTGTGCGTGTGCGTGTCAGAAGTGTAGTCAGCAGCCAAGAGGAAAGGCCGCGGCACCTCCGGGTACGAGGACGGGCAGGTCGGGGTCGACGGGCGGGAGGGACCGCATCTGCTGCATGAGGTCGCCCATTCGCTCGGGGAATCCGCCGCAGAAGAGCGCTGGGTTGATCGCCACGAAGCACTGGCCCAGATTGGCCGCCCTGTACGTGTGCGTGTGTGTGTGTGTGTGTGTGTGTGTGGCCAGCACATGATGATAGTTAGCCATGGTTGTAGAGGCGATGGTGAGCCTTCGATTGCTGAAGTGGGCGTACCTTCCGCGGCCTTGGCGCCAGGGCGGGATGTTGGCTCCGTAGTCGGCACCTGAGAGGATGCCGGTGAAGAGCTCGACCATGAGGGCCAGACCGTAGCCCTTGTAACCGCCGGTCTCCTCCTCGCCGCCCAGATACAGCAGGCCACCGCCGCCCAACACGTCCTTGGGGTCGTTCGTCGGATGCCCGGCCTTATCGGCTGCTCGCAGAACAGAGTTTGGCGATCAGTCGCCAACAGAACACACACGACACACACACACACACACGGCATGCACTAACCTCCCCACCCGGCTGGGCATTGGCGCTCCTCGCGATCGCGTATCTCGACCTTGCCCAGCGCTACGGTGGTCGTCGCCATGTCGAGCACGAACGGATCTGTTGGTTCCCAACCGATCACGACGTGAGCTGAGTAAGCTGCTTGTGTGCTGTATGCCACGTGTGTCGTGTCGTGTCGTGTACGATCGAAAGTGGGGTGTCACCTTGAGGGTCGGTCGAGGGCGCGGCAACGGCGATGGGGTTGGTGCCGAGGACGTGCTGGGCGGCGCGGGTGGGGAAGGCGATGGGGCTGGTGTTGGTGTAGGACATGCCGACCAGCGACTCCTCGAGGGCCATCATGGCGTAGTAGCCCGCGATGTCGTAGTGATTCGATCCGCGCGCAACGACCCACCCGATGCCCAGCTCCTTGGCCTTCTTGATGGCGAGCTCCATGCAGTAGCGCCCCACGACCATCCCGAGGCCGTTGCGTCCATCCACGCAGGCAATCGCGGGCGTCTCGTTCACGATCTGCGGCCGAATCTGAGGCTCTACTTCGCCCTTCTTGATCTCGCCCACGTACATCTCCAATCGATTGACGCCGTGGCTGTGAACGCCACGCAGGTCAGCCGCTACGAGGACGTCAGCCACTGTCTGGGCATGCTCGGGAGGACAGCCTGCAGCCCGCATGCAGCGCTCGACGAATGATCTCAATTCATCTGCCGCTACTCGCACGAACTGCGGGACATCTGCTGCCGTCGTTGGCGTCGAAGCTTCCTCCATCCCTCGCTCGTGCTCCCTTTGTGTCGATTTGAAATGCAGTGATTAGAATTGATATTGTTACCCATATTATTTTATTATTTTATTATTCGATTTTTGGGTTTGCTACAGAGAGAAGCCAACGGGCGGCTGCTTGACGTTGTGGAGACTGCAGATGGTCATGGCCTTGTAGGTGAGGCCCATCTGCTCGTCGTCCACAAGTCTCTCGTAGGCGGCGATCAGATCCTTTGCTTGCGCACTGCACCGTGTGCGATTGCGTTGCGCGTGAGCGTGATGCCGTGTGTGCGGTGGCGTGTGTTGTACGAGTAGCACTGTACGCACCTGTCGTCTCCAGCGCTCCTGAGGAGCGTGGCCAGCCGAGCGTCGATGCCGAGCTCCTGCAGGAACTGGCCCTGCGGCTTCGGGCCGTACGTCGTGATCGAGGCTGTCCGGTACGCACACACGACACACGACACACATGAGAGGCCAGACTACGCGAGACGACTTGCGCGAACAAAAGCCCAGCAGCGTGGGCGTACGGGTCTGCTGAGCCGTGCGGCGAAGCGAGGAAAAATCGACTCAGCTGTGATGTCCGCCAGGCCGGGCTCGCATAGCACATCCTGCATCACACACGACATACACGACACACGCACACACGCACACTGGTGTTGGTCACACCGCCCGCACCGCACACGCACACGGCACACGCCTACCTGGATCTTGTGATTTTTGATGGCGCGTAGGGTGTCCTCACGCGTCCTGTCCTGCCCATAGTCGATCACCAGCGCGGCGCCCCGGCCCTGCTCTCTGGCTATCTTCTCCGAGATCTGGCTCGCCAAGGCCATGCCCTCGGCGCACACCTTTCACCACATTCCACATATCTGGCGTTAGTGCCAACGACACGCGCACGCACCACCGCGCACGCACGCAGCGTGAGCCCCCGGGGGGGGGGGGAGCACGGACCTCGATACGGTCGCCGACCTTGGGGCCGTCGGTGGGCCTGTTGTCGTCGTCATTGTCGTCGTCGTCATCTTCGCCGCCTCGATAGGAGAAGCTGGCCGTCGGGGCCTTTTGCTTCAGCTTCGGCTTCGGCTCTGTGCTCACGCCCGCCTTTGGAAAACAACGGAGCTGAGTGCGCCGCGGACACATGACAACACGACACGACACGACACACAGCAATACTGCGATACGATGCGCGTGCTCACCTGCCGCAGGAGAGCCATGGTGGCGTAGGTGGGTCCGGGCGAGAGCACGTAGCGGAGGTGGTGCGGACCCTCGCCCTGGTCCACGTCCACCAGTCGCTCGAGCCAGCCCTTCTCCGTATATTCAAAGTGGTACACGGGCAGCGCATCAAACAGCTCATGAGCCACGACGAGGAATGGGCCTGCGTGTGCGGTGTGCGGTGAATTAGACGGCCGGGCGTGGAGGGGAGCTCGATGGGCGGTACCGGGGGGCACGTCCCGGAAGTGCCGGTGCCATTGGACCCGCACGCCGTCGGCGCCCGTGAGCACGGGCGAGCTCCAGTGTCCCGTTTCCTCCCGCCCGGCGGTGGGCTTGGTGTCTCTCGTGTCTGCAGCGAAGTTGGCCGCCCCGGCCTTCAAAATTTTGGAGCCTTCCCTGTCTGCTCCGCGTCAAGTCAGGACACGACACGCACGACACGCACCGCACGACACACACGACACGCACGTTACACGGTACCCTCGGTTGAGGACGTTTCCTTGGCGGCATCACCGCTGAGCAGGGTAGGGTCGCAGCCGAGCGTGGCCGCTTGCTTTTGCCTCAGGTAGGGGCTCACCTCCACCATGTGAATCGTCATCTGACCAAACAGCTCCGGCGTCTTCTTCAACACCTGTGTGTCGTTGTTAACACACACACACACACACACACACACACACACACACACACACACACACACACACACACACACACACAATCGCACACGCGCAATGAGGGGAGCACACACACAAACGAACGCAAACGTAAGCGCACGACGCCGACATTCTCATGAGAAGAAAAGAAAAGAAAAGCGGCGTACGCGTAGCATGTCGTGCATGAGCGAGCCACGACCAGGTCCCAGCTCGACTAGGTTCCACATGGCCGGCCGACCCAACTTCTCCCAGAGATCGCTGCACCACACGCCAAGCGCCTGTTGCCGCCCTCTTAAGACTTCGCCCAAAAAGAGCGTGTGTGTGTGCCGTGCGCGTGCGCGTGTGCGTGTCGGTGTGTGTGCGTGTGTGTGCGTGTGTGTCGTGGTGCGTACCTCACCAAACATCTGACTGATCTCGGGCGAGGTGATGAAGTCGCCCTTCTGCCCAAAGGCGTCCTTGTTCATGTAGTAGCTGCGAAGTGGGCCACACACGACACACGACACACGACACGACGCACGACGCACGACACGCACGAATCGATGTCAGCAAGAGAAGTAGTAGCCGAGCGAGAGTGAGAGCGTTGTGTTCTCCACGCACCCGTGCATGGGGTTGGTGAGGGCCTCTTTCATGTAGGTGGCCACCGAGATCGGTCCGCGGAGCTGCAACACAACACGGCACGTAAGCACTCGGCTCCAGGCTTCGGCACGACAATGGGCGCCAGGTGCACCTGAATGTTGGCACGAAGGTGGCTCAACAGCGGCGTGTCGGCCGACTTCTTCCCCGCTGGTCCGTGCGCTACACGCAAAATATATAAAAATAAATAAATGTATATGATTAAAAATAAAATTAAAATCGATTGGGAGTACGCTTGTGTTTGTAGAGGCCACTGGTGTCGATGGAGATGGCTCGCGAGGTCATCTCCTCGGTTGCTTGCGCAGATCCATCAGTGGGCTTGGCATTTGTGGAGTTGCATCTCAATCCTTCGATTTGGTGATTATTACTTCCACGGCGGCAGAGGCTTGCACTTGTAGTACAGCGCACCAGTGCCGCATCACCACGGAGGACCACCCGACGCGTCGCTGCCGTGATCCTCTTCATCCCTGTATTTATTTTTATTTTTTTATTTATGCAGAAGAAAACGTTTATTTTTATATTTCCCTGCACGGTTGAGGCTGATCGAGAGAGATGAGAAGCTGCCAGATGAGGTACTACCTTCACCCTTAGGTGTGGTGCCCTGCGATCCGACGGCCCAAGTCCGCTTTTCATCTCATTCGAAGAATCTGCGAAGATTAAATCGCCAACATTAATCTTGCATCTTTATCTTACCGGTACGCCAGGCGTGCGGCGGTGCGACAGCTGCCGTCGGGTTCGCCTTTTCCTTCTACGCCGCCCACAACTACGGCCACACGGGCCATACGGCCTCCTGCAGCATCTGCCGGCTGCCCCACCGCCCAACTGTCCACCACAACCTCAACCCGGCTGCCACTTTCCTCGCGGCAGCGCTCCAGCAATGGTTCGCCTGCCACCGTGCGTGTCGTGGTGTCGTCCCGTTCATGTTTCTGAAGCGTGTGTGTGTGTGTGTGTGTGTGTCGTGTGTCTGCAGTGGTGATGTGCGTCACGACACGACCACTCCAGAGATTTGGCGCACTTGGCGCTGTGCGGTGGAGCAGTCACTCCACCACCACCGGTACGCGCACGGCTAACGCCACACACACACACGCGCGCGCGCGCGCGCACACACACACACATACACACACACGACACACCACGACACACAATCACCGTCATCGGATGTACACGCACGACCGCACACGCATTGTGTACGCGTACTGATCCCCGCGACCAGCAGACGAATCCAAAGTGAAGAGGCGGGCGATCCTTGCCAGCGGCCTGCCCTTCGCACGATACGCCGAAGAGCTCACCGCGCTGGAGCAGCTGCCTAGCGTGCCCGCAAACAGTGCGTAGCGCTGCGCCTCCCATCCTACGGATCACGCGCCGCGTTGTGTGTCATGCTAATGCAAGGCGCGCATTTGTGCAGGCCTGTCCACAATCATCAGCGAATACGCGGCTGCGGGGAAACACGAAATGATCCTTGCCAGACTGCGACCGCTGGTGCCCCGCCTGCGCGGTGGCGCCGGCGCATTCGGTCTGATCATCAAAGCGCTCCAGGATGTACGCACGCGACGCACCACACACACACACACACACACACACACACACACACACACACACACACACACACACACACGGCTAAACGTGTGCTACAGGTCCGGGGCAGCGTCGAGGTGGCCTTCGCCGTGATGCACCAGGCCGCGACGAGGCCGGCCCGCTCAAAGACCGACAAGGCGACGGCGCCCGACGCACGCGCCTACCACTGTCTGATCGGCGTGTGCGCCCGGCAGGGCGACTACACCGACGCGCTGCGCGTCGGGCAGCTGATGGACGACAACCGTGTGGCCTTCACCAGCGGCACCTACGACTGCCTCATCAACGCCTGCGCGCGGTCGCTCACAGACAAGCTCGACAGCGCGCTGGTGGGTGTCGACAGTGTCGCCGGCGCTAACAATGTCGACACCGGCGCGCGCCGCCATCCGGGGCTCGACGCCGCGTTCGCGCTGCTCGACGACATGCGCCAGCAGCGCGGGCTCGAGCCCGACCGCCGCATATACTGCTCGCTCATGCGGGTGTGCCTGAGCTACGGCGACGTGGCCCGCATGCGCCGCACTTTCGACGACATGCGGCAGCGCGCCGGTATCGCGCCCGACATCTACGCCTTCAACTTTCTGATGCAGGGCTGCGCCGTAGAACGCGACCTGGGCGCCGCCATGCGCGTGCTGGCCGACATGAAGCTGGCCCGCGTCGCGCCGGTGACCATCACGTACAACATGATCCTCAACCTGTGCGCCGAGACTGCCGCGGCCGCGGCCAGTGAGAGTGCCGACAGTGTCGATAGTGCTGGCACCCAGAGTGTCGACAGTTTGGCGGCGGCCGAGCAGGTGCTGGCGCGCATGGAGCAGTCGCGCCTCGCGCCGCCGGACCAGGTCACCTTCAACACGCTGCTCAAGGCCTGCGCCAACGCCGCGGCCTCGCGGTCGGCTGCCGGTGCGGCGGCGGTCGGTGGCTTCGTCGAGGCGCTGGACAAGGCCACGGCCTACGTGGCGGCGATGAAGGCGCGCGACATCGACCCGGACGTCTACACCTACAACACCCTGCTCCAGGTCTGCAGCCACTGCCCGCGCCCCTGGAAACGAACGACTGTCGACGATGCCGACACTGGCGACGACGCGGCCGCGGCCGAACACGGACAAGCTGCGGCGGCGGCAAGGGTCGACAAGGTGGTGGAGGAGGTGATGCGCGAGATGAACGAGCGCGGGGTGCGGCCCGACGGCGCCACGGTCACGCTGCTGATCTCCCACTTTGGCGCGCGCGAGGACCCGGCCCGAGCGTTTGCGGTACTGAGCGACATGAAGCGAGCCAACATCAAGCCCTACCTGCCCAGCTTCACCGCCCTCATCACCGCCTGTCGACACTATTCCGACCCAGCCATGGCCGAGGTGCGTGTCATGCGTGTCGTGCGCGTGCAGCGTGTGTGTGTGTGTGTGTGGAGAGAGAGAGAGAGAGAGAGAGAGAGCGCGCGCGCGCGCGTGTGCAATTCTGCGTCTCATTTGGTGTGTCGTGTGTGCAGCAAATGGCGCTCACGGCGTTGGATGAGCTGAAGACCGCCGGCTTGACGCCCACTGCGGCCGTCATGAACGCTTTCATGGCCGTCACCCCGCAGAGGGCGCCAAAGGTGCTCGCGATGATGCGCGACCACAACATCGAGCCCACGGAGAGCACGTGGAACCAGCTCATCTACTCCGTGGCCTGGCGCCTCAAGAGCGAAAGCGACAAAAATGAAAGCGGAAACGAAAACGAAACCAGTTGGCGCGGCCGCGAGCTGGAGCTGCTCGAGGAGGCCTTTGCCAGCGCCGACCGCCTGCAGTCGAGCGGCTCCGGGCCGGCGTCGGTCGCCTACGGCTACCTGCTCGAGGCCTGCCTCTACGCCGCCCAGCGAATCAGCGCCAGGCGGGAATCGACCACCGGCACTGGCGTCGATGCCGATGAAGACGTCAGTGGCGGCCAAGCTGTATTGTCGGCCGATGACAGGGCCGAGCTGCAGCGCGTGGCCCAGCTGGCCGACCGATGTTGGCGGGACATGCTGGCCCACCAGCCGACGGCCATCACCCGCGAGGCCTGCGCCGTGCGCATGCGGCTGTGCCTCCGTTCGGCCAGCAGGCTCGACCCGGCCGACGCTGCCGAGGCCCGGGCCGGGCTCCAGGGCGCGATCGAGGCCTAC